AGAAAATAATATTGAATATCTTTGCATAAATTTTTTTGTATCAGGTCAGAACTAGATAAAAGAAAAATTTCTGGCACTCCCATCAGGCATGTATTATACATTTATAAAAATTGCCAACTCAAATATTGTCACGAACCAGAAGTTCGTTAATCCAAAAAGTTTATACTTTTTCATGATCGACTTGGATACCAAAAACTATAATGATGCGTAAAATAATAAACAGCTCACATGAACAGTCTTTAAAGAATCAGGAGATTTTTTTACCTAATGATTATCCATGAATTGTTCACATGGCAAGTTAGTCATTAGATATTTGACTACAAAGACCAATATTGAATCTCCAACTTTTTTTGGAAAAGAATTTATGGAAATATATGTGGGGCAATATATCCACCATGTGGACCATTTCGTTATTTTATAATATTAATCGATTTTTCTACTAGATGGTCCAATGCCTGTTTACTTTCCACAAAAAAATGTATCTTTTTCTAGACTATTTGCTCAAATTATAAAATTACGATCTCAATTTCTCGTTTATTCAATCAAGACAATCTCTCTTGATAATACTGGTGAATTTAAATCACAAGTAATATTCGATGATTACCGTATGTCCATTAGGATTGTTATTGAACATTCAGTTGCACATGTCCGTATGCAAAATGATTTAGCGGATCGTTTATAAAACATCTACAATTTATTGTTAGACCATAACTTATAAAAACAAAACTCTCAACTTCTGTTTAGGATCATGCCATATTACATGTTGTATCATTGGTTCGTATAAAACCAACTGCTTATTATTAATATTTACTTTTGCAACTTGCATTTGGTCATGAACCTAATATTTCTCACTTAGGGGTTTTCGGTTGTGTTATCCAAGTCCCTATTTCATCCCCCAGAACATACTAAAACGGGTCCTCAACGAAGACTTGAGATTTATGATTTTTTTAATTCACCATCTATTATTAGATATCTTGAATCTTTAACGAGTGATTTATTTACTACATGTTTTGAAAATTGTCATTTTGATGAAATGACGTTTCCAGCTTTGTGAGGGATAAAACTACATCATAAAAAATAAGATAAAATTTATTGGAATGAAACAACTCTATCCCACTTGATCTTCGCAGCAATCAATATGAGCAAGTGGTTGAAAAAATTATTCATTTGTAAAAAGTTGCAAATCAATTGCATAATATATTTGTTGACATAGGAAACGTGATGAAGTTATATATATCAGCAGAAAATATTTCAGCAAAAATCAATGTCCTTGAAGGACAATATGTTGTAGCAAATGAATTTCAAATACGCCAGAAGCGTGGTTGATCAGTTGATTCAAAAGACTTTATATCTCGAAAAAAAAGTACAAGAGAAAAACTAACTAAAAACTTCAAAAGCAGTAATAAGAAATGATTAATCATTTAAATATTGTAATTATGGTTTTTGAAGAATCACAAGTATTCGAAAATAATGAGATTTCAATAAATTATATGATATCTCAAAAATTATGAGAATTAAATAACATTGTTATAGACAATATTTTCACCTTCAACGTGACTCTTAGAGAAATAAAAAGTGTTTGAATCTATAGTTCGAACACCTGAAAATATAATTCCTTTAGGATACAAATGATTTTTTGTATAGAAGAGAAATTAAAATAATAAAATTACAAGATGAAAACCCGACTCGTAGTTGAAGGTTTCTCACAAAGATCTGTAATTGAAAAATATTCCCTCGTAATGGTCACTATTACTTTCGGACTCTTAATTAGTTTAGTTGATCACAAAAGCTTGACATTCATCTTATGTTTTATGATTCACTTGATATCTATAT